CAGCCATGCGGAGCTAAATCCTCAGATTCAGGATTCTTCTTCTTCTTCTTCTTCTTCTTCTTCTTCTTCTTCCCCCTCCTCCTCCTCATTCCACCCTAATGGGCATTGACAAAATAGTAAACAGAGGATAAACCGCATGTTGGAAATAAATATTAAACGAGGTCAAGCATGAAGAAACCATGTGTTACGCAAGGAAAGAAAATATGTCGATATGCCATTCAACGTTCGCCGTAAAAAAAAGTCCATTGGCTGTTGTGCTTTACAGCTAGGATGCGATATTTACGCCTTTTGCCTCTACACATCCCAATTCATCAACACCCTAAGTTATCACATTTCACGACGTGCTTATTAAGGGACAGTGGTGGGCTTCTTTTTCTTCCCTCTCCCTTGATGGGACCCTTGGAACCCACTCTAGGAAAGCATGAAACACATTTACGCTAACACACGACGGTCGGGATCAGAACATGTCCTCAGAGGTTCCCCAGCTAACATGCTGAAGACCACTGTACTAGAGAATGAATATGCGGACTTAGGTAAACCTTGAGAAATCCTAGCTTGTACTAAAACAATCGTTGACGCCAGTGAAAACTGACAGATCTCCAGCTTAGTTTCCCATATGGCCATATTTGTCACTGTAGAGTGTGGTGGTTCCATTGATATGGGTGGCGTTAACAGCTTTCAGTAGCGGCTGATCGATTACACCAGCGGAGCACTGGAACACTGCTTTCTAGGCTTCGCTGATTTTTCTCTTGTCTGTGCAGGTGTGAAAACTGATTTGATATCCTGGCGGAATTGTTGGTATTTTATTGTTACAGTGGGTGTAACGTATCTACTGTTTCATCATCATCATCATTATCATCATCATCATCATCATCATCTTCTTCTTTTCTTCTTCTTCTTCTTCTTCTTCTTCTTCTTCTTCTTCTTCTTCTTCTTCTTCTACTACTACTACTACTACTACTACTACTACTACTACTACTACTACTACTACTACTACTACTACTACTACTACTACCGTCAGTATTGCTGCCATAACTACATCAGCAAAAGCAACTACTGCTGCTGTTGCTACCACCATCAACACCACTACTTCTATTACTGCTACTGCTGCTGTTGTAAAGATTAATCGACACTTCATAGCTGATGTAAAGATCACACCCACCGCTTTTACTTTCCATGCAATTTCCTGGTACAAGTTTTAGGACGGGTCAGCAGAGGACCCACAGTTATTTCGTCTTCTGCATTCGACCTTGAAAGACTGTTTTATGTGGTGTGCAGATAAATAATATTGGAGGCGCTGATTGAAAGCCACAACCTTCTAGCTGCCGCGGCTCCCACTTCAGGGCAGGTCTGCAGGAAAACTATCTAGACAGGTTCATACAGGCGTAACCGTGAAATTTACTGTAAAAAAAAAACTGTCACTGCTGTATGTTTTACGACGTTTTAGGGCTGAGGTTTTAGGGCCGCACGGCTAGTACTGTCGCCACAGACTGTGCAGGCTAGGTTGTTTAATTTTGCCCCTCCCCCTCCCCCGACAGAAAAAGTACACCTTATCGTGATGGAACCTCGGGTCTCCCGCATACAATTTATAATCTCGACTAATTATTGACATCTTGAGGACTAATGGACTGCTTTGGTTGGGGTATACCGAGACGATGGCAGGTAATTACACACATTAAAGTGTTGAATGGGACTGTAGCAAAGGGCAAAAGACTGCGTGTTGGAGATCCATCTCAGAAACCTTCATTGTGGAGAAGACCCCTCATTGATTGAGAAGACTGAAAGCCAATGGCCACCGAATGCGTTGGAGATCATTATCAAATGCCTTGCCAGCAGGCGTAGGCGTTCATGCATCTCCACAGATCTCGGTCTTTGATGTTGTGGATCAGTTCCACTGATGATATTCCTCCACGCCACTGTCATTTCTCTTGGTTTGCCTTTGCCTCTTCTACCAGTGGTCTTTCCAGTCGTCAGGATATTCTTCATTGCTGCTTTTCTCATCACATGACCAACGAAATTTGGAGATGCTTTTAAAAAATGAAACCACACTAATATCAACAAGCTGATAACACCATGTATCGGTGTTTGTCAGTGTGGCCAGATGATATATTACGGGCATGGTGTCAGCAGATCACATGGTGTCACCATATCCCCCCCCCCCCCCCAAAAAAAAAAGCCCCGATGACAGTCATTATTTGGCAGATCATACATGTGTCAGCGTTAGGTATAGTTTTGATGGGCAGGCTGTTGTTGAAACATCGTCGCGTTGAAGAAGGCGCGGAGGAGGATGACAGTGGTGGTGTTTTCTGTGATGGGGATAGGCTGTTTGGGGACAGAGTGCAGACTACGAAAATAAGACGTGCTAGCTGTCTCTCATGGAGTCAGCAGGTTGTTTGCCTAGGTTTGTTGCCGATTGTCCTCTCGGTGTATGCCATTTTTGGAAGCGCTGTTTATATATGAAGGTTTAGATGTCAGATTCAGTTGCACTCAATCAATTCTCATCGCGCCCAGGGGCACATAAGTCAGATTAGATGCACTAGTTAGAGTTATAGTCTGGGTGCCGTGTTTAGACTGACATAATAGCGTTTCGGGATATTTCCATAAGCTCACCGTCCCTTCTTCATCAGCTAGAGTTCTAATTATGATGGTGCTAGTAACAGTCCGATTGTATATCCTATTCGCCTTTTTCCTGAGTGTTGCGCATTGACCAGATCCTTTGCTCAATTTTCGCTGCACTATTCTTTTCAGACCGTGATGATCACTGTTCAGGAGCCTTTACAACGACTAGCTTGTCTTGCATTATTGGACCACTCTATGGTACAGAACCAACCTATCTATCAGCTCGCTCGATTTATAATACACTTGTCTACGTGAAGAAAACATCCAAAAAGCAGCATTTCTGCCCCGACCTTTTTCAACATGCTCTGTGAGTCACTTCTAACTAGGACATGTGTGTGCAGCTGGTTCTCAGATCAGTAGAGGGCTGTCTTCTCTGGCGGAAAGTTCTGGTTGTTCGTCCGACTCTGGACTCTCCTTTCGTCCCAGGAATTGAGTTTTACGTGCAGTCCGTTTTACAGATCTGGTTTATTTGTATGCGATTGTTGGATTCTCTCAGTCAGATGCACTCCGACTTCGAAGAAAACACCCATAAATTATTCACCTTAACGACATGCTTGTTGAGAGACAGTTTTGTATCCCCCCTACCCCCCACCCCCCCGCCCCACACACACACACACACACACCCCTCCACCGCAGATGGCCCCCGGAACCTACACGGGGATGTCTCTATAGATTAAACTGTACCCATTCCTCGGCAGACATTCTTGAGCCGTGCTTACCAACTGATAAGTGTATTTGTTTTGTTCTCCCGTGGCGGATTCACTAGACGACTCTATATCCATTATGAAACTGATTGTATAGCTGGGCACTTGAGCTGCGGTAAATCTGCCAGGGTGGATACAGAAGGCAGGGCTGCTCAAGTTGGTGCTTTCGGAAACATTTGGTACTGTTTTACCCTTACAGAGCAAAACTATGATTGCGGTACCACGCCTGATGTTTTATAACGTTTGAGTTTGCTCTCTGCGTAATTAACATTTTAATGATAAAATTAGCTGTACTTTGAAGACCCTAACTATAAATGCACTGACGAGATCAAAGTTGTCTTCCCAGGACATTCATTGCGCTAACTGGAAGCCGCCACAGCAGCTGTGTGATAAACTGAGCAGAAACCAAAAATGGTGCAGGATTGAAGTCCCCTTGTAGCGAGGTTTTACAAACGCACTTATTAATAACGTGTTGCCGGGTTCGACACCAGCTGCGGGCGATTTGGCAGCCTACCACCTTGCGTTAGTGTCTAAGGTGGTATCGAGAGTCGACCGCCCAGTCACTCACTGTAGCAAATTACTGAAAGTAAACTAAGTAAAATTACGTTGTGAAATCATAAGTAAAAAAAAAAAAAAAAGTAATGAACGCTTTTCCACGATTTATTGGGAATATAGAGCTAGACCCGTATTTTATAGACTAATCGGCACTAGGTTGTTGATGTGGTCAGCATCACGCCGACCGACTTTACCTCCCAGGATGTGAAATCCTAACCAGCCAAAACCTGCTAGATTTGGGTTCTGCAACGTTCTAGAAAGTACTCGCAACTGACTTCACAGATTTATGCTCGCCCCAATATGGAACGCAGTAATTTTGTTATTGTAAAGCCGCAGCCTGACTGTAAACCTAGGGGTCGAGCGGGGTTGCTGGGACTTGTGCCCGGGCGATTCTCATTCGAATGGTCACAATTTGTGTCACCGGGTGTTTATCGCTCCTTGTGCGGTCCTGGTGGAGTTGAAAGTCCCAATTTTAAAAACCACGTGACCATATTGTCGCTTCGGAAATGAGAGCATTAAAAAGTCTTTAAGATAGGAACATACTCAGACACCTGGTTCTTACCGGAAGTAAGCAGGTACATGTTTTTACGAGTCAAAGTAGATATCGTCATTCTCTTCCTCTGTCTGTCTCCCTGTCCGTCTGTCTGTCTCTGTATCTCTGTGTGTCTCTCTCTTTGTGTATATCTCCCCATGTTTCTGTCTTTCATGGTCTCTGTGTCTGTCTCTCTTTGTGTGTCTTTCTCTGTCTGTCGATCTCTTTCTTAGTCTGTGTGTCTGTCTCACTATGTCTGTATCTGTCTCTCTCTCTATCTCTTTGTCTCTCTCTCTCTGTCGTACTGTATGTCTCTCTCCATCTCTGTTTCTCTTTATCTCTCTTTTTGTCTGTATCTGTCTTTCTCAGTTCCTATGCCTGTCTCTGTCTGTGTCTGCCTGTGTCTGTCTGTCTGTTTCTATCTATCTCTCTCTGCCTGCCTGTCTCTATGTCTCTCCTGTCATTTTTGTCTCTCTGTGTCTGTCTCACTGTATGTCTCTCTCTCTCTCTCTCTTCATCTCTCTCCATTTCTCCCCCCCCCCCCTCTCCGATTACAGCTAACAGTAGCTGCCGTGTGTCGGTTGTTGCAGAAATCGACTACGACAACTACCTGCCGGCCCATGTCCTCATGCACGTCAAGCGGGACCTGGTCAGTGTGCTCATGGAGTACGGTCAGACCAGGGAGGTCAAAGTCGCCTTCAAAGACATGGAGAGATCCGGCCCACACCACGCCTCCAGGTTTGTACATTCTCATGCCAGCCATAGCCGCTGACCCAACGGTTAGAACTGGTTCAAGCGGGAGACCCACATTCGAATCCTCAGTAAGGTTGGGGATTTTTTTTTTTTTTTGGGTCAGGGGTGAAAATAAAATCCTTACCTGCACAGTCTGTGGCGACAGTACGAGCCACGCGCGGCCCTAAATCCTCGGGGGCAGGCACATTCTCCATCTCTCTCCCATTTTACACTGCGGAAGTGTTAAACACAAGCTGTAACGGTAGTATGTTTATCATATAGCTGTGAGAAAAGCTTCCTCATGTGGGATTCGGGGTTCGCGTTGGCGAATGAGTTAGCTGAAATCGAATGTGTTGGGTCCAAAGGCGCAGATGTCACAGTGTAATTGTAAACCACTACACAACTTGCCAAGGACAGTTGTAATAATGTCCAGTGCAGTGCATCCGGGAGCTGTTGCTGGCTTGACTGTCGTCCCAACTTCCTGGGTTGGAATCCACATTGAATATTTTCACTTCCCCTGTGGGTTCCACAGCCTCACAGTGGATGAAACAAAAAGAGAACCTTTGCCTCCCCAACAAGCATGTCGGAAGAGTTTTCTATTCTAGGGCTTCCTTTGAGGTCAGAGTGCATCTGCTGGAAGGCAAGGAACCAGAACTCTGCATAGAAATAAATTAGAGCGGTAAAACAGATGTGCACACAACAATCAGGTTTTGGAACGAGAAATCCAAGGGTGGGCGAGCAACCAGAACATTCCGTCAGAATTGCAACCAGTGAACACAATAAAGAGAAAGAATAAAAACTCTACTTCTCTGGTCGACAGAGAACATGGGTACCAAGTAACCTGCTGAAAAATAACAACCATCAGCTTGACTTTGACCCTATCATCTAGATGTTGACCACATCATCCAGATGTTGACCCATCATCCAGATGTTGACCGCATCATCCAGATGTTGACCGCATCATCCAGATGTTGACAGCATCATCCAGAGATTGACAGCATCACCCAGATATTGACAGAATCTTCCAGATTATGACAGCATCATCCAGATGTTGACAGCATCATCCAGATGTTGACAGCATCATCCAGATGTTGACAGCATCATCCAGATGTTGACAGCATCACCTATATGTTGACTGTATCATCAGGATATTGACAGCATCACCTATATGTTGACTGCATCATCCAGGTGTTTACCGCATCATCCAGATGTTGACTGCATCATTCATGTGTTGACTACATCATCCAGATGTTGACTGCATCATCCAGACGTGGACTGCATCATCCAGATGTGGATCCAGATGTGGATTGCATCATCCAGATGTTGACTGCATCATCCAGATATGGACCCAGATGTGGATTGCATCATCCAGATGTTGACAGCATCATCCAGATATTGACAGCATCATCCAGATGTTGACAGTATCATCCAGATGTTGACAGCATCACCTATATGTTGACTGTATCATCCAGATATTGACAGCATCACCTATATGTTGACTGCATCATCCAGGTGTTTACCGCATCATCTAGATGTTGACTGCATCGTTCATATGTTGACTGCATCATCCAGATGTTGACTGCATCATCCAGATGTGGCCTGCATCATCCAGATGTGGATCCAGATGTGGATTGCATCATCCAGATGTTGACTGTATCATCCAGATGTTGACAGCATCACCTGCATGTTTATGGCATAATCCATATGTGCACTGCATCATCCAGATGTTGACCATATATCCATGGAGCACCAGCGGTTGCACAAAAATAGCTTAGCAACATGTTCCCCCCGCACAGTTGGCATGGAAAGGGTCCTTTACTGAACAGCAAACAAACCATGGAACCAGACTTCATCAGAAATGGTCTGGGCTGCCAGCTTGGTACAGTCTTAAGTGGGTACCAGGTAAAGTTCAGGGAAGTAAGTGCAGAGGCGTCATGTTGACTACCTTACCCACCACATGCTGATTGTACTATAAAATATAAGTCTTGCGCCCGGCGTGCCTGAAGGCCTGGCAAAGGGTACTTTACTTTGGCTAAACTTACACCAGACATGAACGATGGGAGTGAAACATGACCAACCCAAGGGAAGCAGTTCATGAGGACTGAATCCACCTGTAATTAACAGTTTTGCTGTTGTTTGTCATCACAAGTGATGGCGATCACTTTGCACCCCCCTTAGGTACAAGATGGCTGATTAGTGCAATTTGAGCCGGGACAAGCAGTGCAGACAACAGATGGAGGCGACACTCTAGGTTCTGAGGCTCCAGTTTAGAACAAAGAATAGAGCACAGTGCTCTATAAAAAGAACCTTTTAAAAGGTGGCTAATAAGGGTTCTGCTGAAATTAAAAATGTGTTTGGCCAAGAGGCCCAGAAATCAGTCTAACTTTAATCCACAACACAACATGTTAGCTACCCAGTTGGGAGAGTACAGAAGAGGAAGAAAACAGGCATGCGCAGTTGTCCCAGTGTAGGATGCAATTTTATACTAATTTAAAGCCCCACCTGGCTCCTAAAGGACCCAAGTATAACTTCACGGTTGATTGGGGTTTCTGAGACTTGTGTCCGGGGGATTCCCATCTGAATAGTGGCACTTTGTGTCATCATGTGTTTATCCTTCCTAGTGCGGTCCTGGTGGGGTTGAATGCCAGTCTGACAAAGATAAGGTAGCCATACTTGCGATCAGTAAAAATGGTACTTAACTGTAATTGATATATACGAATATACATCTATATCAGCGGTTCTCATCCTATGGGTTTGTAACCCTTTTGTGGATCAAACAGCCCTTTCACAAGGGTTGACAAAGACCATCAGAAAACGCTTACTGACTGAAGTTATGAAGTAGTAATGAAAATAATTGTTTGGTTGGGGGTCGCTACAACATGAGGAACTGTATTAAAGGGTTATCACATTAGGAAGGTTGAGAACCACTGATCTGCATTATTATTTTGTTGTATGGCATCTGTTATTATTTTGTTGTATTGAATCTGTCTGTTATAGTCCGCTTATACTGATCTGCCAGGTTTCACACTGCAGCTATTGTTGATACGGAGACCTTCCCTGTAGGATCTGGGTCTTCCAAAAAGAATGCAAAAAAGGCAGCGGCTGCACAGGCTCTGAAGATCATGTATGACAGGGGCCGGAAAAACCTGGAGGTTGTCAACGAGGTGGCTGTAAGTAACTCATGCTGTTGTCTGGTCATGGTGGTTGTATATCATTGTGTTTTGTCCAGAACTGAAACAACCAGTCAGTATGACAGATAGGCAGGATTACTCTCTCTCTCTCTCTCTCTGTGTGTGTGTGTGTGTGTATGTGTGTGTGCGTGCGTGTGTGGGTAGGTGTGTGTGTGGGGGGGGGAGGTGTGTGGGTGGGTGCATGGGTGGGTTGGTCGAGTGTTTGCTTCTGACAACAGTAGGCTGTTGCATTTTCCTCCATATGTAGGCTATGAGGAGATAGTTCTGTCACCCAGCTACTGAGTTGAGTGCATGGTGTGACACTATGCTGCTGATTTCAGTAGGAATGAGCTTTCCATCATGGTTTGTGTTGTGAACTGTAGCCTGTTGATAGACAACTGGTGGTGCCTTATGCGGTTAATGACATGTGCAACTTCTGATCTGTGCTAAATGCTACTTACATCGACAGTGATCATTTCTAGCGATGGACTGTTTGTGCTGGCACTTCTGATGGCTGCATTATACATTTAGGGTGTGTATATGCTATTGGCTTTGTTTGTTTTGCAATCTGTTTCACCTTTTTCACAAGGTACAGTGATGGACATTTTTTGTGGCTATTCTTGACACACGAGCAGAGCAACTGGAGGGTGACCAGTGTATAAGAAAATCGGATCTATGATTACCTAAGTACTAAGCCGACACTATTTATGATAAGTTATTGCTTTAAACAAACTATGTTTGGGTCCAATTTATGTCATTTAAAAAATATTGAATTGCTTTGAATAAACTATGTTTAGGTCCTATTTAAGTCATTCTATTCTGATAATTTATTGCTTTAAATAAATTATGTTTGAGCCCAATTAATTCATTCGATTCTGATAAGTTGCTGCTTTAAATGAAGTATGTTTTAGTCCCAATTAAAGTCATTCTGTTCTGAGAATTTATTGCTTTAAATAAACTAAGATTGGGTCCAGTTTAAGTTATTATATTCTAAAAAGAGCAGATTTGTTTTCAAAACTTACCTTGGCTTCCACAATGTCCCAGCCCAAAATTGCTAAAACCAAAAAGTTTTGGTTGTTTGTTTGCTTTTTTGGTCTTGTTCTAGAGCTTAAGTTTTGCCTGAAGATCCATGTTACAGATCTTTATTATTTGTACACAGACTCTTGTGTTTTCACCTCTCAGACAGATGTACTCTGACTCTGACAAAAGCACCCCTTAATCAGTCGCTGATTGACAACATGCGTGTCAGAGGGCAGTAGGTCGGTTCTGTTTTAATTTCATTCAAGGTATCTTTATTTGTTTTTTTGTCCATGCTGTTCTCAACAGGTTCACTGATTGGCTATGATTCTTCTCTGCACGTTAGGATTGTTTCTGTACAGCTCTTAAGAACTGTCTTTCTCCCCTCACATATCATTACTTTATTTTGTTAAATTCCCTGTGTGCATTCTGGGACCCATTTTTTGGGCGGTTGGGGGGGGGGGGGGGGGCATGGGATGGCTCCCCATTCACAAGTGTGTCATAAAAGGTAACAAATTAGAGGTGTTTCCTTCGAAGGTGGAGTGCATCTGTCTGGGAGTTTAGAAACCAACTATCTGTGTACAAATAAGCCAGATGTGTAAAATGGATGTACACACAAAATTCAAGTTTTGGAGCAAGACCAAAATCCAGAAGTGGACAAACAACCAGAACTTTCCGCCAGAGTTTACAGCTGATGAATTCTCAGAAGGAAAAGATTCTGTTTAATGCTGCTTTTGCTTGGGCTATTCTGCATTTATCTGTAATGGGGCATCTATGATTGGATGCAGTGGTGAGGCCAGTCTATATTGGATGGAATGGTGAGGCCTATCTACATTGGATGCAGTATATGAATAACATGCTTCACTTTTGAGGACAGCGTTGAGGAGCATTGTCTGGATCTTTACGCTGGGGTATGGGGGTGTCTTGGGAAATGCAACAGGCGGACAGCTTGACTGGCTCTGCACAACTTTGTGAATATTGATGCATGATGAGGCAGACGGGATTAGGGCCTTGTGGGAGAGCGTGTACAATTGAGAGTTAGTTGCAAACGGATCACCACAGTCTGGTGAGAGTGGTTCAGTGGGGAATGACGAGGGGATCTGGCCGATACTCGACGCTCAGAGGAAAGGCAAGATGGACGTATAATCAGAATGTCACTGGCATGTCTTTGCTGGCTGCTGAAGATGGGGTCGGAGCATTTAAGTGAAAGCCCCAAGTGCTGTGATGATGGTTCTTCAGTCAGCACAACTACTTAAATGTATTAACTTACTTCAGACCTTTCTCTTTTGCTCTGATATTGCAGTTTGGGGCCATTTCGTTGGGAGGCTGCAGTTAACATCATGTCTAGGGGATGTTGCCTTAGAAAATCACCAAGTTTATTCTTCTTTCTGACAGCACAAGAAACTGAAGGCAATGTCTGATGAGGAGGTTGGATCTCATGCCCACAGAGTTGTGCTAGTGTCTCGCCATGTCTTAGACACAGCTGAAGAGACCCAGTTCATCAACTATAGCAAGGATAAGATTGCAGCCACATTTGTTCTGGAATACCATGGCAGGATGCGAGTTGTGGGCCTGGGCACTGGTAAGCTTACAGGTGGTAGAGTAGATTCAGCTCAACACTGGGTGTCTCTCAGCATGTGTCTCTTTTAGAAACTGAGGATTCATCATCATTATCGGAAGGTCCTTTGCAGAATGTCTTTCTCATCACGGTATGCCTGAAAGTCTCCCTTCCTCTAGTCAGCTCTCCAGCCATGTGTGCTTTCTCTACATCCACAAGTTGCTATGGAAAGATATATGAAACTAATGATTAGCTGGACTTATCTCATCTTGATCCTGTTGTACCTTGAGGTGACGTCTGAACTGTAGGGTAGTGTTGTGGTCTGTCACCTCCAGGATTGCTGGCCACAGGAATAATACTCAAGAATGAGAATCCGATATATGCAAATCCTGGTAAGCCCAGTTCACCCATAATGTGATATATGAAGCCTCAGATGGTTACAAAGTAATCTGAACTACGGCCCAGGCAGGGAGTGCATTTGCTCTATCCATATTTGTGTGGGTTGCCTCTCTTTAAATTCTTACATGGTCTGTATATCATTGCTCATTGTGGTATACTGTGATGAGCTGGTTAGATGTGTATACATATATAGTTGGACAGCATCAAGAGGTGGTCTTGCTGAGTACATTGTGAAGATGCAGGACAGAGAGTGTTGGGATGCATTACAGCTGATTTTCTTTGGGGAAATACCGCTTGATGAATCCCTCATTTTTTGGGTTCTTCCTCAAAATAAAGGTTGACACATTGTGGTGTGGTTTACTGCGCCTTTCAGCTTAGCATATCAGATTTCAGCAGACATTTAATTAGTCATCTTTAATCAAATAACAAGCTTGCTAAAATGCAATGGATCTGTTATTTAACACCACAGAATAGTGATTTGGAACCCATACAGAGAGACAAGACAGCAATGATGGTTGCACTACTATATTTACACTGGAAGATCACTAATATATGAAGTGTCTACACTGTCTGTGGCTTAGGTGTTGCGAACGAGCTTCTTAATGCTGCGGTTCCAGGTTCGATCCCAACTGCAGGCCTTGCGCCTTGCCTTGGTTTTGACAGTGGCATCAAGAAGATGACCATCCAGAAAGCAATGGCAAACTACTGGAAATAAATTTGCCTAGAAAAACCACAACAGCCAAAAAGTGCTGGGGTTCGTTCTGCAATGTCCTATAAAGGATACACAACTAACAGCACATGGAGATTTGTGTGACGGTTCTTCTCATGCTTTTATTTATTGTGTGTAACTAGGTAACCGCTGCATCTTGTACCAGCATCTGACACTGGATGGTAAGAGGGTCATCCACTCGCATGCTGAAATCATTGCCCGGCGAGCCTTCCTTCGGTGAGTGGTTGAATATGGGAAGTAGCAGCTATTCTTGCTTGGTGATATTCTTTCTGTATGGGTTCCCAGGTCCAGTTTTGGGGGACAAAGAATAAACCCACTGACCTATAAAAAGCCTGTCGTGAAAGACGACTAATTAGGGAGGTTTTCTTTGAAGTTGGAGTGTATCTCCAAGAAAGGTGAGGAAGCAACAGTCTGCATGCAGGTAAACCAAATCAGTAAAATGGATGTACAAAGTCTGCCAAATGTGCTGCTGGCTGTGGATATCATTGTGTTGATCTCTGTATCGATGTTAACTTTCTTAGCCAGTAAGCAGCCAAGGTATGTAATCCTGTCTACTGTCTTCAGTGCTTTGCCCTTGACTGTGTTGTTTGGTTCAGGTAGACTTGTTCCTGGGACTGGCTGGAACATTATTTCAAGAGAAGATATAAAACTGAACCAAATACAAACAAAGCGTGAATGTTATGGTTATGGAGCCTTCATCAGCATATACAAATCAGATAGTACTACACAAATACACAAAATCACTTAGCTGGTATCTCGAAGCAGCCAGGTCGATGGTTTCTCGGCAGACTGCCTACATGCCTAGGCTAGGGGAATAAATACCCCCTGGGGAGTACCAGGGGACATAACTAGGGGGTTAGAGATAAAACTGTCAGGGCAGTTTATTCCCCTAGGGGTTTAAATGAAACTGTGTTGGTAATTCATTTCGGAGGGTGTTCAAGTCCCCAAAGTGTAAAAAAAAAAGGCCATTCTCAAGAGACTTGCTGACTCTGTCGCTGGAGTGGCTAGATTTATTGGCTGTCACCTCCATGTCGAGGACACCTTGGTGGTCTTGGGAATTGAAGTGTAACAGTACTGGTTTCAGGGCACCATTTTGCACATCCAAAAGATGTCTGAACCTGTCAGCCAGCCGTAGACCTGTTTCACCAATGTATTTCATGCCACATCTCTTTCAGTTGATGGCATAAATGACATTGCGGCTGGTGCAGTAGAATGCTTCACGTATGTGGAAGGTGGCGTTCAGGAATTCTAGACTAGTCACCTGTACCACATATGGACAAGTCCTGCATACAGGTCTGTGACAAGAGACCGTGCCGAAGTGGGACTCAGACACGGGGACGTAACGACTCTTGACTAGAATGTCCTTGAGGTTACGGTCATGCCTGTAGGTCACTAGAGAAGGTTCAGGGAAAATCGTGTTGTGGCAGGGTCAGCTTTAGGGATGGAAAGATTGAGGAAAATATTTTTGGCGCGGATGTTGTGAGGGTGGTAGGTAAGTGTGAGGATAGGTCTGTTGTGGTGATGTTTAGGCTTGGAAACGAGAGCCCCGGCAGGATGGTTAAACTGCGCTGTGAAAGGCGTCAGATAAGACATGTTCAGGATACCCTCAAAGCTGGAAGAAGTCCAGCATTTCCAGGGCCTTGTGAAAGTCGTCGTTCTCCTGGCATAGTCTGCGGAGGCGTTGAAGTTGACAGAACGGAACAGATTCCTTGCAAGAAGAGGGATGGGAGGACGTGTAGAGAAGAAAAGCGTGGGAATCAGTAGGCTTGTAGTACACCGAGGTGCTAAGGCTCATAGAATTCACGGTGACAGTGAGATCAAGAAAATGCACTGACAAAAGTGAGATGCTAGGAGTGCATCGGATGCTGGGGTGGAAGTTATGGAAAAAATAAATGAAGTTTTGCAGTTCAAGTAGGGGCATATCAATGACACTGATGCAATCATCGATATACCTCCTGTAGAGCTCGGGGAGCGTACCGGTATATGCATGATGTATCTGTGCTCGATGTGCCCCATGAAGAGACTGGCATAGCTGGGTTAAATCTTGGTCTCCATAGCGACGCCGCTGATCTGGTTGAAATAATGGCCGTTAAACTTGAATGAGTTTAGAGTGAGCACAAACGAATCAAGGGGTCAGTGGCTATGGCAGGACTGACTCTCTGATCTAGAAAGAACCGCAAAGCCTGGAGGGAAGCCCAATGTGGAATAGAGGTGAAGAGGGAGGTAACATCTAAGGTGAAGATGTAGTATCTGGAAGAGTAGATGAACCGGATAAATTGGTTCCCAAACTGTTCCTCCCAATGACGCTTAACAGCAGAAGTGGAAATTGATGATGGTGATGAGGATGACCTGGTGGACAAAATCTAGAATAGGTACAAGGAAATATCTGGTGAAATAAAGCCAGCCTGCTTGATGTTACCCACTTCCTCTGTTGATGTGCGACTGGTCTAGAAAGAACTGGGTCTGGCACCATATGCCTAATGTGTCAACGCTGTCCGGTTGGTACGTCCTTTTCTTCCATGATGTTATGTTATCACAATCAGCTTCACTGCGCATTGGGCATTCCCATGCATGCTCAGTCCTCTGATGCAGCAGCAGCTTTTATTATTCGCAAAGCATGTTCCTGTAAATTCAAGTGTGTTTGGGAACTAGCAGGCAGATAGGCTGGCTGAATTGGCCCCACTTTGGGATGTACTGCAGATGTGTAAGGTAGAGGTGATCTCTAGCCTGTGTATGAGGTAACAAGTAAAATGGAAAATATTGAAAACCTGTACCTGGAAAGAATGATGCAATGGGGAGTGTCTGTGGGCTTTGGGTGCCACATGCGACTGGGGGAGAGGCAAGACGAGTAGTTAACCAGGGGACAGCGGGTATCATCAGTTTTGAGACTCTTTGATGGCTGTTGAAAAGAGAGACAGAGCTAGTGTCGGCTTGTTCTGAATGCTTTGATGTTTTATCATTACCCAGATGAATCCATTTTTAAAAAAATTGTGTACCTGATGTGTTGTCTTGTCCCCTCCATCCAGCTACCTGTATAAACAACTGCTGACCTACAACGGCAACCGCTCCCACCCAGTCTTCACCCGGAGCGACACTGGCAAGCTGAAACTGAGGGATAAGATACAAGTCCACTTGTACATCTCCCGTCCTCCGTGTGGGGATGCTGCCGCCTTCCCCACCATCAGCAACTTCCCTAACAAGATGAGGGCTATACGCAAGCAAGGCCAGCTAAGGACTATCATTGATGATGGTAATTTTGTTACAGTTCCATTACACTGTTCTGTTTCATATCGTGTTCCCATTGACACGGTGAATGGTTGGTTTGGTCACACTTATTATTTTACAATCTGAGAAGCAGCATACTAAGTTCATGTGATAGCCACAGTGGTCCAGAAATCCCAGGCTGTATTTGCGGAAGACTTTTCTTAATACTAGCGGGTTGTGTTTGTCACACTCGCCATCGCCATGGACTGATTCCTCCCCATAGCACAGAATCACTCTGTCATCGGGAAAGATGGAGAGGTGCCAACAATATCAACGTTGCATGCTTTGTTTCATTTTGTATCTGTGATGGGGGTCTCTTTGGTGAAGTCGTCCAGCTGTTTGCTTTGCGTTCTGAAAGTCATGGGTTTGTTTCATGTCGGTGCCATTCAGTCCACCACTGCAGCTTTTACAAAGATCCCTGGGGATCATCGCCGGAGCTAGGGAGGTCGTGCTGTCTGGGATGCTCTTGAGAGACAGCTAGCTATTCTGCGGAGAGAGACTAAGCCATATGGAAAAAATCCCTGTGCATTGAAGTCGATCCTCTCACCTTTACCTTTGTACCTGTAGTGAAATGGTGGATGTTTGTCTAACTGCTGTAGTTATGTTATTGTTCCAATACACATGATTTAGTTTACTCTAATCAGGTTATGAAATTATGCGTTTTATTTATATTACACAGGGGAAGGTGCGATCCCAACAGACTTCTCTGTACCAGCAGGAGCTAATGGCAAAGAGAGGTTACGCATCATGACCTGCAGTGACAAGATCTGTCGCTGGAACGTGCTGGGTGTGCAGGGGGCACTCCTCTCTCATTTCCTGGATCCCATCTACATCAGCTCCCTAGTTATAGGTACTAAACCCTGTCTCGGTCTGTTAGAACTCATACATGAAGAAGTTGATGTTTGTGTGACAAACTCTTACAGATTGAAGTTGATGTTTGTGTGATAAACTCTTATGGGTAGAGGTTTATGTTTGTGTGAACTCTTACATAGAGATTTTGGTATCTGTCTGAACTCATACATGGAGAAGTTGATGTTTGTATGCGAAACTCTTACAGATTAAAGTTGATGTTTGTGTGACAGACTCTTATAGGTAGAAGTTGATGTTTGTTTGACAAACTCTTACAGATAGAAGTTGATGTTTGTGTGACAAAATCTTATAGATAGAAGTTGATGTTTGTTTGACAAACTCTTACAGATAGAAATTGATGTTTGTGTGACAGACGTAGGTAGAGGTTGATGTCTGTGTGAACTCATACACAGAGATTTTGGTGTCTGTTTGAACTCATTCATGGGGAAGTTGATGTTTGTTTGACAAACTCTTACAAATGAAAGTTGATGTTTGTGGGGCAAACTCTTATAGATAGAAGTTGATGTTTGTGTGACAAAATCTTATAGATAGAAGTTGATGTTTGTTTGACAAACTCTTACAGATAGAAGTTGATGTTTGTATGACAGACTGTTATAGATAGAGGTTGATGTCTGTGTGAAATCATGACCAAGAGGTTAGTTTGTTGCTTTCCATCCCGATGAATGTGCCAGCTGTTATCAGATATTTTTCTTGTGCATCAGGCCATAAGAAGGAGCCTCTGCTCTATCAGTCCATCCACAGGAGGAAAGAGTCCATTAGATTGTGTAAAACAAAAATGATGAACTACCCACCCTATCTGTTTGTTTCAGTAGTCTGCTCTTTTCTAGTTATTTAAATAATAAGTACAAATAGGTTTATGTAAAAGGTCTACCTGCAAGCTGCCATGAGATTTGCTTTTGTTGTTAATTGTCATCCTGTTTTTCAATGGGTTTTTCATACTATTTTTGAGTGGTTTTTATTCATACTGTTTTTCGGTTTGTGTTGTTTTTTTGTGTTTTTGTTTTTTAAATTTCATTTGGTATTGATTTTTTTGTTTTGTTAACATACAGTTTTTTTTTGGGTGCTTTTGTTCACACTGTGATTTTAAGTAAGTTTTTTCATTCTGTTTTGTTTTAGAGTGGTTTTTTGTTCATTTTGTTTTTGAATGGTTTTTAAACAGTTGGTTATTTTCCCAGGCAGCCACACAGGAGATCAGCGTGGCCACGTGCCACGTGCGGTTTCTGGTCGACTCAAGTGTGGCCGTCTGCATGAGGTTATCCAGCGGCCCTTCCACATCAACACGCCGGACATCCACTATCCCCACGATGACCTGGCTGACAACTACAACATCACAAAGTCCAAGCAGTACTGCATCACCTGGTCTTACGGTGACTCTGATGCTGAAGTGATTGATGCTATAACCGGGGTCACTAACATGGAGTAAGTCTTTTTTTTGCTTGTCTTTGTAACTAACTTTCAATCTGTAGTTAAGCCTTGCAGTTTCTATGTCACATTTGGTGGGGGGTGGGGAGGAATAGGTCCACTGATCCTGAGAAATAAAGATGACCAGGGTGATGTGGCAGAGTGGTGAGTGACCTATAAAAATCCGAGTATAGAGATGTCTCCATTTCTTTCTTTGTGGATTTCATCACCCTATTGATGGGCAGAAAAAATAAAATGTGTTTACCTGTTGTAAATTTGAACAAAGAAGACCCAAACAGTAGATTACACAATTTTTTGCCTGGCATATTTCGCTGTATCTCGTCAGGGGCATTTTACAGTAACAGTTAAACAAATGAAGCTGTTAAGTGAATCCTTTAAAACTGAAGTACAAATTCAACCACACTCAAGAGCAACTGCGTGTTTTACCAGGGCTATCACAATGTCTCGGTCATGTCTTTTGGTTTCCAAAGTTCAGGACGGAGGTAATGAATAGTGGCTGCTTCGAGAAATCTTAACGCTCTGCCATTGATGACATGTGAAGAATTCAAAATGGGTTGTTTTTAGGTTATAGTGTGTCGAGAATTCAAAAGGTTGCATATGGCGGTGAGAAAAATAAAAGACCAGCTGCTCCTTAACAAGCATGTCATAAAAGGCTACTAATTAAGAATTTGCTAAAATTGTATGTTGTGGGACAAAAGGTGCAAATATCACTGCTGAAGGTGGTAACCACCTTTTTAATGGAGATTGCAGAAGACGAAGTATGTCAAGTTAAGCATCATCATGGAAAGGATATTTCACATGGGGCAAGTTGTTATGCATTTAGACTTTTTCCACTTGGTTTCTTCCCATGTTTCTTGAACATTTACTGACAATTACAGACATATTGAATTGATGACTAAACAGTTAGAACACTGGGCTCGCAAGCAGAAAGGTTATGTGTATTCTTTCTGTGTATGGAGCAAAAAATTTAATCATGATCTGCACAGTTGGTGGCAGCAGGACTAGCCACACGGTTCTAAATGCCCAGGTTAAAAGACTCCCATGCCTTCATCACAAACATGGTGAAAACAGCAATAAAGATAGTGAAAAGACATTATATGAATTGTCTGTAATATGCATGAAACAAGTAAGGAACAAAAATGTGGTTGTACATCCACCACTTAATCATAGTCTGGTTCCAGATATTGAGTTTTGTTTGCATCTTTTTCCAGATCTGGCTTATTTGTATGTTTCCTGTTGGTTTCCTGCATCTCAGGTTGATGCAATCCCACGTAGTAGGAAACTCCCCTAGTAAGTCAACAGTGTGTCTATATTTTTCCTAATAGAATGGGGCTCTGGAACTCACAGGGAAAGATTTTATTTTAAAATAACAGTGACAATGCTAGCATGAGGGTTGTCTGACTGAGCTTGATGTTTCTTCAGGACCATGGAGGATGTCATTCCCTCGCGGGTGTCCAAGATCACACTGCACAATCTCTTCCAACAAGTCTGCAAGAAGTATGGACAACACGACCTAGCCAGTCTTGACTACCTCAAGGCCAAACGCGCGGCCACCACTTTTCAGAGGATGAAGAACTTTGTAGGTCAGTCTATTTGTTGTCAACATCTGACATTTCTGTAAGTTTCATGTGTCTGTTTGTTGACCACATTGGAAAGCTCTGTAAGTTGTATGTGCCTCTTTGGTGATCACATTGGAAAGCTCTGTAAGTTGTATGTGCCTGTTTGGTGACCACATTGGAAAGCTCTGTAAGTTGTATGTGCCTGTTTGTTGACCACATTGGAAAGCTGTGTAAGTTATATGTGCCTGTTTGTTGACCACACTTGGACACTTATGGTACGTTCTTTGGTCTCACCATCACAAGGACAAAAACTAGAGCTCTTTGTGACAGTGGGGAAGTTGGAGGGAAAATGAGGCTGAGAAAGGGAAAGAGAAAAGAAACTGGATGGTTTGACAGCGAAGACTTCATACCTAATAGTCATCAAGGTGTTTAAAATGGGCCAAAACCTTTTTTTTAATAGTCTACATTAATAGTTATAATTTACTTTTATAGTTTAAAATTAACTTTTATTGATGTAATTTGTTTTAATAGTTATAATTAACTTTTATAGTTATAATTATCTCCTATAAATAAAGTGAAGAAACCTTTTTATGCCTTCAGGTGTATTGGGCATATAGGCTGCCTTTACTTCCCAGGAGTCCACCTGGTACCCATTCAAGGCTGGGTCAACCTGGAAGACAAGGTCATTTAAAAAAAAAAATGTCTGGTACCCAAACCAGACCCAAACCCACAGCTTTCTGATCTACAGGCAAGCATCTAGCTGCTCCACTGCGGCGGCTCCCGTTATGTTGGATAGTTATAATTAACTTTGATAGGCATTTGTTGGATATTGAATGAGTTGCCTGGTTTCCTCACAGGCCAGCACCTTGCTGCCATGGGTTTCGGCCAGTGGTATTCGCTGCAGGACACCTATGGAACGGACAGTCTTGGCTGTCCTGGGCCGTGCTAGCCCCGTTCATGCGCTTGCCGATATGGGCTCTCGCAAAGCGGATCCAGACGTCACACAGAGGCTCTGTTGTGTCTTCTCCTGCTGTCACCGTGGCAGTTGTGCCGTCATCTGACAGAAGGTGACTTGCAACTGTTTCTCTTCATCTTTTATCAGACTACGGCACTGACTGTCACCGTTGGTTTGGTTTGTTTTGTTGTGTGTCTTTTGAATTTGGCTAATCGGTGTTGCTTGTTCTCGTCAAAACATCTGCTGCTCACCAAATGGGCAGGATTTATACTCCAATGGGAAGGTGTGGTGTGTGCCAACCTGGCAGCTATAATTGTGTATCTGTTGGCTGGCCACGTTCAGATAGAGCAAACTCTCTACGTCCTATCTTTGAAAATAGAACCAGTCCTGTGTATTATGCCCATTGGCAGGAAATATAAGAGGGTCATGAACCAACACTGTCTTCATCATGAAGTGAAACAGTCTACGATGTCCTATATTTATTTAATTGTTTGTATTTCAGATGTAGGTACACACATTTATGGTACACTTTTATTTTGTGCTCGTTTGCTATTACAACAATACACTTGTATCGCATGGTCCCTGTCGGCGTCAGCGAGGTGTGGGTGTGCATGTTACAGTTGTGTGCGATTATATTCTTATACTGAGTGTTTATCCCAAATAACAGTTATTGCGTCTGAACAATTGGGTTGTGTTTCATCTATGAGTTTCGTTGTACTGTTTAATTTTATTGGATTGGGTTCTTAAACTCATTTGTTCATTCATTCAAAGAAAACAAATTTGTAACCACATTCAACCCGTCTGTCTCTTGGGCGTTGCAAATGTGTTTATGTAACTCAGGATACTCTGTCCTATACCGGCAGCAGATGATTCAGCAGCAGACAGCTTTGCGTTGATAATGGAAATAGTATGGAAAGTCAGCTGCTCAGAAGCAACGGCAAACTACTGAACGTAAAATAGCCAAGTAAACCAACCCGCCGACAAATATTGGGATAAATTCTTCATTGTTCTAGAAAGATACACAGCTAACTTTTGTAACAAACTGCTGAGATAAGCCTTAGTTATAATTGTGGGCCTTCCCTGTGTGGGTTGGCCTCTTTCTTGCCTTGGGACTCTCTAGCTAAATCTGTTGGTAGAGAAATAGTTGCATTTGCGGATTTAACATCGTCACCCAGAGAAGACTGAAACCTAGTTCTGATACAGTCTCATAACTGCCTTTGTATCGGCCCGTTTGCAGTGACCTGTTCTTGCAAAGCATACTTAAATTCCTTTGAACCTTTGTGTACCTGCACAGCGTAAAGTAAACCTGGATATGAATATATTAAGTAAAAAAGCAATAACATATAAGGGGTTTTCTTATCACCCCAATGGCTTTTTCTAAAAAGCCAGGCTGATGTTGAATTGTCCTTAAGCCTCAGTGATAGAGTTCACGGGGTCAAGGCAAGAGTACAATACAAATTGTCTTTTAGGCCCTGTGTAATGTATTTCATTTAATGCTTCACTCTGTGTTTATTGATTCCTCCCTTTATATATTTATATATATATATATTTTCAAGGAAATGCAAAATGAAGATCAATACATTATTAACAAAATTTATTGGTGACCTATGTACATTAAAAAAATAAAATAATTTTAAACAGATTTTTTGGGGGGAATTCCCACGGGGTCCTAACACATTTTTGTTTTAGCCTTCCAGGGCAGATGGTTGAAGTTGTGGATTTAATTTGTGGATTCATTTGTTTAATTTGTGTCAAGAATTTATTTTGCAGCTTTGCTTTTAATTTTTAACAGTTTGTTAGTGAGTTTAAATCTAAAAAAAAAGGGATGTGTGAATTCAGTTGTGCAGTTGATGTGAAGAATTTTATTTTACACCTATTGTGCTCTTAAATTTAAACAGTTTACATATCGGTTTATTTTTGGGTTTATTTGCTGTGGTATAAATGTATGGTCAGTGTGTGGATTCCATCTACAGTTGAATGTTGTTCTACTTTTACAGTTGTGGTTTTAATTTTTAACAGTTACTTTTAAAGTTGTTGTGCAGGCTGAATTGATTTGTGTTTTAGTTTTGCATTTGTGCATCTTGAATTTGACTATTTCATGTCTGTCTGGGTTAAATGCTGTAGATGCAGTTTAATTTTATTTGTGCATTTCTTGTACGATTATAATTTTACAGTTAATGTTACTTTAATATAACATTCATCACATCTTCCTCTTTTGTCATAAGTCGGAATGCATCTGCCTGAGAGGTAAGGAACCAAGAGTCTGCATACACATAAATCAGATCTGTAAAACGGACGTGCACACAACACTCAGGTTCTAGAACAAGTCTAGTCCAGAGGTGAATTCACAACCAGAACTTTTCATCAGAGTTTACAGCCAGTGAACATCAAGAAGAAGAAGAAGATTATACATCACTCACGGCTTACAGTCAAGTCCTCCATTAGATTCTATTATGTGGAATCTTTCCAATATCATAGATGCAATCCATTTCAGCTCCCTCTCTCATTAACATTCACCTTAAGGTTTCTCTTGGGCATCTTTTTGTTTTTTCTTCCGTTAATTTGTTTCTAATGAGTACCTTTTTGTTGAGTCTCTGTCTGATTGGCTTCTTGATATGCCTAATACATTGTGCTGACTTTGTTAGTTCTTAGCTAAAGGCCAGGTTGGACGTTGGAAATTCACAAACACATCTGATACATACTTTTGTTTATAACTTGATACAAATACATTTTCCGCTCCACATGCACAAAGTTTCTTGACCCAGACGAGACTGCCCACTAGATCTTTCTAGGGCATTAAATAATCTTCTGTTGCCCACATTCAAATTGCGCCCACATTCGAGTTCTCATGTTTTCCATTTCGCACAGGTCTAGTGAGATTCCTTTGGCCAACATTTTCCCTGTGAATCCCGGTTCGTACTTGTTAAATACAAATATCTAATTAATATTCATTTCCTGACATCATTCCTATTGTAACATAATTTATCAGGGAGAAAATGGTTCACTACAGTATTTTATGTTAAAACCTGTTACTAGTTATTTTCCAGACATTTCTGTTATTTTCTCGCCTTTCTTGATTTCATCCAATTGAATGTAATACTAAGTCAGTTTATTTGATGTGTGGTTTAATTATACTGTTACTGTGTTGGTACAATGTTACAGTGCACAGGTTTAATTATATTGTTACTGTGTTGGTATATTTTTTACGTTACAAAGGTTTAACTTTATTGTTAGTGTAACAAGCATGCCATAAAAGGTTACTAATTAGCAGTGTTGCCTTTAATATTGAAGAACATTTACCATCAGTCTGATATAAGTAAACCAATTCTGTAAAACTGGTGTGCATGCAAAACTCAAGTCCCGGAACAAGACTAGAGTCCAGAATGGGACAAACAACCAGAACTTTCCACTGGAGTTTACAGACGGTGGACACTGAGAAGAGGAAGATTTCAAATGATGTGTGGTTTGAGTGGCTGGTTGATGACTGATTTTATTATTTTACACCGAAAAGAGGTTATGATTCTCTGAAAACAGAAGAAGGATTGTCTGAAAAACAAAAGTAGGATTGTCTGAATAAAAGAGTGTAACTGTCTGAAAACATAAGTATGATTATCTGAAAATGTTTATATTATCAGAAACTATGGATGTCTGAAATCAGAATTATGATTGTCTGAAAACAAAAGTATGATTGTCTGAAAATAGTAGGATTGTCTGAAAATGTAAGTATGGTTGTTTGGAAACAAAAGTATTAATGTCTTTAAACAAAACTGTGGTTACCTGAAAACAAAGCTGTGATTGTCTGAAGTAAGGTTACTGTGATTGTCTGAAGTAAGGTTACTGTGATTGTATGAAGTAAGGTTACTGTGATTGTATGAAGTAAGGTTACTGTGATTGTCTGAAGTAAGGATACTGTGACTGTCTGATGTAAGGTTACTGTGATTGTCTGAAGTAAGGTTACTGTGATTGTCTGAAGTAAGGTTACTGTGATTGTCTGAAGTAAGGTTACTGTGACTGTCTGAAGTAAGGTTACTGTGATTGTCTGAAGTAAGGTTACTGTGATTGTCTGAAGTAAGGTTACTGTGATTGTCTGAAGTAAGGTTACTGTGACTGTCTGAAGTAAGGTTACTGTGATTGTCTGAAGTAAGGTTACTCTGATTGTCTGAAGTAAGGTTACTGTGATTGTCTGAAGTAAGGATACTGTGACTGTCTGATGTAAGGTTACTGTGATTGTCTGAAGACAGAAGTATGATTGACTGGAAACAAAAATATGGTTGTCTGAAAATAAAAGTATGACTGTTCTAAAACATAAGTATGATTATCCGAAAATGTTTATGTTGTCTGAAAACAGAACTATGGATATCAGTAATCAAAATTATGATTGTGTGAAAACACAATATGATGCTCTAAAAACAATTGTTGTCTGAAAACAGAAGTATGATTTTCCTCAGAACAAAATACAGTTTGTCAGGCAGCATAAGTATGATTTTGTACAAGCAGAATTTCCTTATGGACCTTGTTGACCATACAGATTATATTCCAAGAATTTTAGAAATGTTAATTTATTTAGACTTTGAAAGTTAAATTGTATTGAATTGAGTCAACAACAAACATCACTATACTCTGGACATCAGCGCTCTATCATCATCTTCAGCAGTCAGCACAGAGTTCCAGTTCTGATGGTGCCAGAAGATGTTTGATAGTTTTTATGATTCTTTGAGCTGTATGCAGATTTTTATTGTCTGTTATTAAATATAAAAAGTAAAGTAAAGGACCCTTTTCCATGCTTTCAGAGGTATTGGGTATATAGGGCTAGACTTACATTTTATAGACCAAATGGCACTTGGTGGGTGATGTCAGCATCACTCTGGCCGCCATTACTTCCCAGGACTGTACCTGGTACCCACTCAAGGCTGGGTCATCCTGGGAGCCAAAGTCATTTTTTGGAATGTCTGGACCCCTGTCAGGACCCGAATCCATGACCTTCCCATCTGCAA